GACTAGCGGAGAGTCAGGCTCAATCGGTCAGTGGACTCCTGCTCACAGTTCTGCTGACCAGCTTACTCTACTCCTGCCCTCTTCTCTCTAGGTATTTGCTCTCTTAAGCTATCTTTTTGATACTTAGCAGAAATTAGTCACAGATTTTTTTGTTTGTTTGTGTGTTGGTTGGTTTTTTATCCCTAGGGCCCTCTGCCTCTTGACCAAAATGGCTTTCATTCCCACCCATCTGCCTTACTAGGTCACTTGATCTTTAACTGGCTCCTGTCTCTTCATCTCTTTTCTCTAGCTTATAATACACATATTGGTTACTTATGAATTTGTACTCTGAAATTTCTTCTTCTTTAGAGAGCTTCATTGTTCTAAAATTGAATATAGATGTTAAACTACTATATACAGAAGTGTTGAGTAGGATGCATGTAGAGAAGCTAGGAAATGCAAGGGAAAACTGGGAACCCCCATTTGCCTTCGGAGGAGATGCTAAAATTGAGGCCTGTGGTCTGTGTGACATGATACAGGGGCCACTTCCTCTTTAGGTGTGCCTGGCGCATCCCACAGCCGAGAGGGCAGTGCCAGGAGGCCAGGAGTCAGTGGTCTCTCCATGCGGAAAGCTGCGTGGAGACGGCTACTTTACACCTCGCCGGCTTCCTGGTGCCCCCAGTAGGTGGGTGGTATTCCCCTTCCTGAGGAGTAGACTACGTTGGGGTCCATCTCCTCCTGGCTTCAGATGCAGTCATAACTATTTAAAAAATATATTTCTTCCCCTTGGTCCAAGAGTTCACTCGGGCCTTTGGATTTGTAGTAGGTGGTAGTGTGTGTGTGTGATGGGGGCAGGGGGCTGTTGTATGTTTTAAATAAGCCATACTTTTAGAGAAATGGCAAAAACGGCAGATGTCATTTCAAATAAATTTTTGTTGCTTTTGGAACATATCAGCAGCAGATATTTGTTCTTGGTCAGTAGTGGGCTGTATGCTGTACAAAAAGAGGGTCAGGCATGGGTTTTCTGTCTAACCAAGGAAGGTACAAATCAGCAAAGAATAATTAAAGACCATGATGAGGCTGACCTTTAGGAAGCACTTTCCACTGGCCAGGCATCACGGGAAGGACTTTAGACGCATTATCCAGTTTAATCCTTGAAACCCTTGAGTTAAGTATGATCATGCCCAGAGAGGTTATGAAACTTGCCAGTGTCACACAGCTAGTAAGTGGTACAACCCAGGATCTAAACTCAGGTTTGTCTGACTCTAAAACCCTCACCCTAATCACTGTGCAAACTGCTCTTGCACGAATTTGGTGCCAAGCAAGAGAGGTTCCAACATTTCCAATGGAGGCGAAGCAGCAGGAAAGCTCCTTAAAGTCAGTCAGAACTCGTTGTCAGAAACCAGACAGTATTAAGACTCTGTTCATAACTTGCAATAGTATTCTTTAACTTATTTCAAGAATGTACTTTTCAAGTGTCCAGATTGCCTCAGAGGCCAACACATCCATAGGCTTCTGCCCAAGTTGAGATTATTTGTCATCGATACTATTTGGAAATGTTTCCATTCTGTCATTTTGCTGAAAATCTGATTTAAAAGAACACAACAATTCAGTAAGATGGTGTGATTAGCGGCCCCCTGAATTTGGTTGCTATGTATACCTTGAATGATTTGGATTTTGGAGTCATAATAAAAAGCAAGAGGATTAGCAAAACCACTTAGTTTGTTCTTTTGCCCTTGGAGAGTGAAAATGTTTTCTTCTTCATCTTCTCTTCCGTTGGAAGTGGAACTGAGAGGTTATCTTTTGAGGGACATCTGCAGAGTAGTTTGATTTTAGGCTGTGCAGGGTATCATTTCAATAGTTATGTACAATAAAACTATCATCTCAAGACAAGTTTCTACTGTAGGACCAATGGAATAATAATAAAAGCGAGAAAAAGTGGTTTGATATTTTAGTAAGTGCCTTGTCTTTTAACATACAAGTTTCTAAAAAGATTTACAGTGTCTTTACATCTTTATTTTCCCCGGCGTATATGATGACATGCTTTGCATGGTAGGTATTCAATAAATGTTTATCTTATTACTGTTACATATCATTCGAGTTCTAGTTATTATCACCAAGCCATCTTTTAGAAGAATCTCCTTAACAATAGAACTTACATATTTGATCTCTCAGAAGTTCCTTTTTTTTTTTAACTAGTTCAGACAGATACATTATTTTCTTCATTGGTAGGTAAAGCACATGGTATTTTCAGAACAATGTCAGTATCTTATTGGCCTTGCTTTAAATGATTACTTTTTCGTACTGAGGTTTTTAAACAAATTCTTTCAATTAAATAAAACTTAGGACTAAGACTGGTAGAAATGATCAAGTACTAAAGTATATACCGATGTAGAAAATTGTGATGTAGTGTTTTATTATTATATATCCAACTGTCTGAAGCACTAGCAGTGTACTAACTTATTAGCCTATACAGCATCCTTCTGAAGGAAAGAATTACAGCAATGGCTTCTATTTATTGAATATTTACTCTGTGCCAGACACTATGTTAAGTATACCTTACATTGATTATCTCATTTAATTCTCAAAACAATTCTATAAGACAGGTGTTATTGTACCTATGATCAAACAAAGCTCCAAGGTTTAAGTACCTTTTCCAAGGTTCACAGTGTCAGAGTAAGAATTTGAACCCAGTTTATCGAACTGCAAAGCCCATATTCTATATTATGAGGAGAGAAGTGAACACAATCCCTAATTCATGCTCCTGAATATGAATATTCGTTTCTTACAAGAACAACTGTTATTTGACCATTTCCAGCCGTTTTAATTGAAGACATATCATATGTGATTGTTACCAGCCGAATGAAAAGTAGCAATACAGAAGCCTATGAGTGATGCGATGGGCAAATACTCAGCGGAATGCTGTAATGTCTGATCTTCCCTGTAGAGTGGCTGGAGACTCATGAGCCTCGTTGACACACAAAGGCCTTGGGGAGGTTGTCTCTGCTAATAGAGCACTTCATTTCCTCACCTGACCTTGCCACCATGCTCCCGTCTCAGCCCTCAATTAAGCTGCCATTGGCATAGGATTTATAATGTGTCACTGGCCATTCGAGAGACAGCATCAGAGGTGTGGCTGAAAAGCCGGACAATAAAGAATGGAAATGATTTGTATTTCTGTTCAAATCAGGGTGATAACAAAACCATAACTTGCAATAGTATGGGACAGAACAAGACAGTCAGCTAGGTGCCCATTTCAGGTACTAAATGCCTAGTAACCTTTTCAGAAAGTACATTTTCTCTGATGGACCAAGATGCTCACGGTTCTTCCTTCCTTCCTTCCTTCCTTCCTTCCTTCCTTCCTTCCTTCCTTCCTTCCTTCCTTCCTTCCTTCCTT